GGAAGACACTGAAAACAAGTGGCCCCGCAGGTCACAGGGACGCCAACGACGTCAGGCGTTTGTCACATGACGATGTTTCTTCAATGGGCAACGAAGTGATTAAAAAGTTAATTCAGTTCCTCTGTCGTTAACTATGGGGGAGTAAAGCAAAAAGTCTGCGGCACACGACTAGTTACGTCAGCTAAGTGCAATTGCGAACGGCGTAACGATTTTTGTCGAAAACCTACTATTTAAAATGCCATGACCCGGTGTGCCGGCGTGTGAGGCTGCTGTCCCTCCCTGGGAGGAACCTGCCCTCACTTGGAGAGGGTCCCTCTTCCTCGTTCAGTTTCACGTTCTCCCTTTTATGAAATGACAGATGGTGGCTTTTTGACAATAACGTCTCTCATTGGGGGAACAACAATGTCAGCAACAGTGAGAGTGGTTTTTACAAAGTTCAACGCCGCGGCCTGTGTGATCCATTAAGTGAGGCATCCACTGGTGACGGCAGTGAGGCTGTCCCGGCCGCTCAGAGCCTCTGCTGCACGCCCGGGGCCTCGGCGGTGGCCTCGGCCATGCCCTTGGACTTGACTACACGCGGACACCGAGAAACAGGGCGAGGGGCAAGCATCTTGGGGGTCGCACTTTCTTTGGGGGTGCTCTGCCCAGGCTTTCCTCGCGGTGGAGAGCCCTGTAGGGACCCCACACAGGGACGGGGTCAGTTGGCTGGCTCTCACAGCCCCCTGGGGAGGGTGCTGAGGCTGTACAGCTTGTTCGAGTGTCAACATGTATGTAACATTCTAACTAAATCCCACATGCAACATTTATGTAACATTCTAACGAAACCCCAGATGATGAAGCCGACGCTGATGGTTTTCAGAGCAACCAAGGTAACGATGTAGCAAAGCACGAGGCCTTCCTTCCTCCCGGTAGCTCACGGCAGCAACTGAATTAGCAAAGCGACGCTGACATAAAGCGATCATCAGTGCTCGCAAAGCATTAGCATACTCTTCGATCGATCATCTCAAAACCTTAGCACACTTCGGGGTCAGTTTGACGAGCCGCCCACACTGAACGAGCGCGTGTTTACCGAGCTGGAGGGAAGACAACTGAGTAAAAGCGGGAATTTCACACTCACCCCTCCAGGGCTGTGCTGTGTCCAGTCTCTATCGCTTTCTCCCCGACGTCCGCTTATTCAGCAACAGTCCAGGTGCGACATGCGTGTGGGCGTGTGGCGCGGTGGGGACACGCGTTGGGGACACGTGGTGCGGACACGGAACGAAGGCTCCGCAGCCCCGAGTTCCCCCCTTGCTGTGCACTCTGTCCTGACACCAGCGTCGAGGGACATTTATTTAAAAAGAGTTTTGTCCAGAGAGAACAGATTTTATTTCACTTAGCAATTCTTTTTCTGACACTGTTTAAATTATGAGCATTTAAAAGGAAAGTAAATATAACATCGCTGTATAAATTTGACATTCTATTAAAAAATTTAAATCATATTTTAATTTTCTCGTTTTCTGTACATGTCCCATTTACCCGACTGTCCGTGATAATAAACAGAAATGTCACCGGCGACCCACACGGAAGTGTCCCGAGGGGTGAAACAGTCACTTCTGCGAAGCGCTTTTCTCGTGCCTCCTGATGACATCCATGAGGTTGGCCCCGGTGACCAGGCCGTGCGCCCGGCCACGCCGCTGCTGCTCCCGCCGCCGCTGGTCGTGCAGGTGGGGCGAGTTCAGCAGCTGTGCAGGCAGCAGAGAGCCCGTGGGCGCCACCCTCTTGGCGATGTCCCAGAAGAGGCGCTTCGAGTTGTT